GCTATTTGACTAATTACTTAATGAAAGGTAAAGCAAATAAAGAGATAAGAGAGAGCCACACGAGGATTTGTTTAGGAAATTCGCCAATCGTCATCGCTATGGCTATGCCTCCTCCCAATTCCCAATTTGGAATTAGGATAATTTCTTACTATGCAAAAAGTGATTACAAGAGAAGAGTTCCAAGAGCAACCCTACAAACACAACTGTTTGATGTTGATTCAACCCCATATCTTCTTTTGATCTTGAGCAAGACCAAGACACAGTAGCTATCAACTGATTTATCGAATATTGCTACTCCTTTGGGTACCAAACTCCAAATCTCTTTTGCACACGACCAATTGTACTTATTGAACATAATACCTTTCAATTTGATTCGTCGTTCTCTCGCTACTTCCTTGGGTACCAAACTCCGAAGGCTTTTCACTTGGCCGCAATCCTCTTTTGAAAGTCTTGAACAAAACCAACAAATCTATCAAAGATCTTAGAGAACAAACCCTATGTTTTTCTGGATTAAACCCCCCATAATTCTCAACCTAATATTCTCGTCTACACAAGAACATAATTGGACGTTATCAAACCTCGCCTAGATGGTACCCCAGCAAAAGATGATTATGTGTTATTTATCAGTGTGTATACATAGGTTGGAGGTTGAAGGTGAAGAGCAATGGTGGTAATTATTTATATTTTCATCAAGTTGGAATGACACATGAATGATGTATTTATAGTTATGGAAGTTTATGTGCAAAGAGGTGATTTTTTGAAATTAAAAAGAATTGAAAAATTGATCCAATCAAATAGTATGTGTCGGCTTGAAATACGTATGTGTCGGCACATAAGTAAAAAACTAACAGTATGTGCTGGCCTAAAAAGGCAGATGTGCCAGCCTATACAAGTCAATGGGTATAGGCTTTAATACTCCACTAGATGTGTCGGTCTGAAAATCGTATATGCTGACACATAAAACTAAAAGTTACAGTATGTTTAGGCATATGTGATGTATGTGTCGTCCTATGTCAAACAGAAGCTACAAGCTTTATTATTGAGTTACATGTGCCGATCTGAAACACGTATGTGCCGGCACATGCAAGAGAATTTATGTAGAAATTGATTTTCAAGGTTTTGGTCAATTTCAAAATGGTTTTTTAATGATTCCTAAGACCTCTAATGCATGGGAGTGTCACATGACATAGTGATACCGTCCAATATATAAAAATGCTAAAATTTTCTAGCTTTGAAATCATACAAAACATCTAATGATGAAATTGCACTCACAATAACTACAGTGGTTAAATGATCGTGGTAATATAGTATCGCCGAAGATATATTTTATAAAAATATACCAACAAAATGTTTTAGTGACTGACAAAAAATCGTAAATAAATATTATATATACTTATGATTTTTATCTATCACTAAAAATTAGAGAAATGTCGATATTGTTTAAATAAATCTCATGAGAGATTAAATAAATCTCATAATTTAAAACTAAAAAGATATCATTTGTTTTTTTTAATAAATCTCAAGAGACAATTGGGTGTATTTTCTCTCAAATTATTAAAATATGACAATATAAAATTTTTGCACCAATCTACCACTCCCTTTCAAAAAAAATTTATCTAACTATTATCTTTTCTAAATTATATATTAAATTACTATTGTTTTAAATAATATTTCTTTTTATCCTAGATTATCCAAATGAAGTGGAGGGTCCTTTGAAATGTTAATCGCATCCTTCAATTAAACCGGCAGAACTTTTTTTATTATATTTTATTTATATGTAGATTTTCAAATTTTTAGAGGTGTGATTTTAAAATAATATAAATTTTGATAAAATTTATAAAACACATTAAAAAACATATTTTTGCGGGAAAATTAGCATTAAGAAACTTTTTTTTCTTCCAAAAAGACTATAAAAATAAAATTTAATTAAAAATAAATAAAAATACAAAGATCCGCTAATTTAATTGATGAGGCTATTTTTTTATTTGAAATAATTTAATATATAAATACTACTTTGTATTTGAAATAATGATAATTTAATATATGAATACTATTTTTTATTTGAAATAATGGCAATTTAATATATAAATTTAAAAATGCTCATTCTCTCTCATAAAAAATGTCATATTTAAATAATATACGATTTTAAAAAAATGATTAAATATATTAGTTTTTATGAAAATTAATATTATTTATTAAAATATTCTTATTAATTTTAATTAATAGAATAATTAAATAAAATAAAATTAATAATTAAAAATATAATAATAAAAAATAATAATAAATGATGTATTAAAATTGTAAATATACAATTATTTTGAGCTAAAAAAATGAAATATTTTTTATAAAACAAAAGGAGTAATATTTAATGACGTTAAATCTCTACTTTTAAATATTTTTAGTAAGGAGGATAGACGGGTTTTTAACAAGAGTTGTTGTGATAATAGGGATTTTATAGTATAATAGGAATAATTGAATATGTCATCACGAGAAAGAGGAGGCGCATCAGTTAGGTGCTAACATTATCTATAATGACAAAATTATTCAACACTTATTTTTCTCATTTTTTACACTCCACATCATCTTCTCTCTCTTCTACTTAATAACTCAACACTCATTCAACTTTTACTCACTATAATGATTTTGTTTAATAAAATTAAATATCTTACCCCACCACTTTTATTTCATATTTTTATTTTCTTTTTTATGTTTTTATTTTTTTGATTATATATTAATAATAATTATCAATTGAAATTAAATTAAAATAATTAAGAGTTAAATAATTTTTTTAATTTTTTTTAATTTAAAAACTTATTTTAATTTTTTTTCTCTAATTTTATATTCATAATTACCAAAAACTTAAAATGCAATACAATACACACAACAAACAACACACAACACACTTAAAATGAAACACACATAACTTAATTAGTACAATAGACTCAACTCACAAATAATCTATTTAACCACGAAACATTCCAAACATTACCCATATATGTTTGACTATATATGCTTGTAATTCGTGTTGTACATTTGAATCACGCATCACAGATCTAGCACGCACATGATTTGCAAATGCAGGTAGCACCTCGGTAAAGAATGGCTCCGGTGTACCAGACCCACTTGCCTCATATTGATCATAATTTGTCCAATGTTGAGAATATGTATCTCATTCATCCTCAACAATCATATTATGCAATATGATACATGACCTCATGATGAGAGCCAAATCGATTATGTCCCATAAACGGGCTGGTTCGCAAATGATTTTAAATCGAGCCTACAACACCCCAAATGCACGTTCGATGTCCTTCCGACGACATCCCTCCTGATATTTTACAAATAACTTATCCGGTTCACTTTGAAGAAGTCTAATTGATTTGATGAAAGTCGGATAAGAAGGGTAGATATCGTCAGCAAGATAGTATGCCATATTATACGGACGTTGATTCACAAAGAAGTTCACTCTTGGATTTTTTCTCGTTCAACATCATCAAACACGGGTGAATGGTCTAGAACGTTTATATCGTTAATGTGTCCGAACATCCAAAGAAGGCATGCCAAATCCATAGATCATAAGTTGCAACTGCTTCAAGAATAACAGTGGTGGTTCCCTTATGTCCCCGAGTAAATTGACCTTCCCATGTTGTAGGACAATTTTTCCATTCCCAGTGCATGCAATCAATACTCCCAATCATCCCCGAGAACCCCCGCATTTCACTAACATGTAGTATTCTTTGCAGGTCAACTTGAGTTAGGGATCTGAGATACACTAACTCATACAATTGTATGATTCCTTTACAGAATCTACGCAAGCACTCTAATGTTGTTGTACCTCCTATTTTAATATATTCATCGACCGCATCGGCCGCCACACCATATGCTAACATTCGCATGGTCGTGGTACATTTTGCTAATGGAGATATACCTTATTTTTTTGTTGCGTCAACTCTTTGGGTGAAGTAGTTTTCACTGCTAGATAGTTCTCCAACGATCCTAAGGAACACATGTTTTCACATCCCGAATCGCCGAAGAAACATTGCATCGTCATATGTAGGTTGGTCTGCAAAGTAGTCTTCTATTAGTCTTTGGTTTGCCACTGCATGATCTCTATTGAGATATTTTCTCTTAACATTAAGTGTATATCCTTCCTGTATTTGATTTTGTCGCTCCCTGAATCAGTTGACGATATACCTCTCTTCAATTTCAGACTGCCTTTTGTAAGCTTCGATATCAAAGGGAAATTCTGAAGGATCCATTGATGTTTTTTAGTAATATGAGATTTTAGGTATTGGTACATTAATAGAAGAATGAGTCTCCATTTATAAGATTAGTAATATCATATTTTTGGTATTGGTACATCAATAATATATAAGAAACTAAGTGATAAAATAGAAATCAATATCTTGATAATATAGATAATAGTAGACAAGAAACAAAATGACAAAATAGAAATCAATATCTTGAAAATATATATAATAGTAGACAAGAAACTAAGTGACAAAATAGAAATCAATATCTTGATAATATAAATAATAGTAGACAAGAAACAAAATGACAAAATAGAAATCAATATCTTGATAATATAGATAATAGTAGACAAGAAACTAAGTGACAAAATAGAAATCAATGTCTTGATAATATAAATAATAGTAGACAAGAAACAAAATGACAAAATAGAAATCAATATCTTGATAATATAGATAATAGTAGATAAGAAACTAAGTGACAAACAATGTCTTGATAATATAGATAATAGTAGACAAGAAACTAAGTGACAAACAATGTCTTGATAATATAGATAATAGTAGACAAGAAACTAAGTGACAAACAATGTCTTGATAATATAGATAATAGTAGATAAGAAACAAAATGAAAAAATAGAAAATAGTAGATAAGAAACAAAATACAAACAATGACTTGAAAAGGACTTGATAAAGACTTGATAATATAGAAAATAATAGATAAGAAACAAAATACAAACAATGACTTAACAACATTTAATTTCCAAACAGATTGCGATCCAACTTTTGCAACAACTCTTTGCTCCGGTCATCAAGATGCTCCTTTGAACTTAGCTTCATAACATCTTCATCTTCTTAGCCTCGGTACTTTCTTTTAACAATTGGTTAACTTCCTCTTTCCTCATGGCTATTTTTTCCAATCGTTCTAACTCTTTCTCCTTAAATTGTTTGAATTCATTCCACTCTTCATTGACCGATTCCAAGGCTGCGCCACTGCTTTTTTTTACCCTTTTTTTTGTTGCATCCCTCCCCATTGGGCGAGCACTAGATTCTACAGAGTTGGAATCACTTGCATCACTCTCGTGGGCTCTCTTAGATCCACTACCTACAGATCCACTATTTCCTCCTACCTGACTACCATAACGTGGTTGATCACGGAGAGCGAGTCATTCTGACATTAAAATGAAATGTCCACTCTTACCACTTGAATATAATTCATGCGCTTTTGCCAATACATCATTCTCCGACCACCTGCTTTTTTTCACACACTTAGCGTTATTATAAGCGCCTGTCCATTTATTAAGTACTTTGTTCATGTAATTGTAATGATTTCTACATGCAACACGGGGAGGATCAAATGAGCAGTTATCATTACAGTAATAAGCAATTTTACCCCAATATGAATCACTTTTTTGGTTTCTCCTAACAACACTGTATGTTCCATATTTAATCCACCCACTAATTAGAACCAAATTTTGATCAGTGGTTCATTTGGGGCTTTTCCGACAAACATGAGTTGAATCCTCTGCATTTGGAGTGGCTCCATGACCACCGCTCATGCCACCAAGAGCCGCTTGTGTAGAAAAATCAGGAAATTTATCAAGTCCAACATTAGGAACATTTTCATTTCTCATTGGAGTAGAAGAATAATAAGGTGGTGCTTGAGATGAATATGACATCATAGATCCATAATATGGACGATAGTTTGGATTAGATGACGGTTATGAAATTTGGTATATTTTGGAGAACTTGTTGGTTGGAAGATTGATTTTGAAATATATAGTTGGGATTTGGGTAGTTGAAAGGATAGTTAGTAGAATTTTGAGTGTTAAGAGGGTTATTATTGGGATTCATTTCACTAAAAAATTGTTTAGAGCTACAAACAATAATTTATTGGAGGCTAAATAGAAAAATTAGAGAGAAAAAATAGATTTTTTTTCTTTGTCCAAATCAAATGAACCAAGACTCTATTTATAGAGAAAAAAATGATGAATTTTGGTGAAAATAAAAATAAATAAAAAATTGATTTCCTATAAAATAATTGACTCCAAATAATTTAGGTGAGATAAAAATATAAACAATCACAACAATCAATTGTATTTCGCAAAGTATTATAAGTGATCCCCACTCATTTCTCATTCAACATGTTAATGTTTTCAACACAAATTAAACCAGGTCACATTCAACACACTATTCAACAATCTATTGGAGCAATTCAACTATTCAAAAATTTATTCAGCACTCTCATTACAAATAGTCTAAAGCGTTTACTAACTGACATAATTGATTTTATGTCCAATATTTCTTTTCATATAATAATTTTTCTGATAATAACCTGATTGTATGGCATCCCCTAGGTATATGGTGGACCAAGTATGATGTTGATGTATGGTTTAATAAACAAATAAGTACAATTAATAGAAGATGGTGTTTTAGGAGTAATAGTGGAGTGTTTTGTTCGGCATGTCTCACTATCACAAAAAAAGTCATCCGATATGGCCAATAAATCCAATTATATGTAAAATAATCGTAATTATAAGCTTTAGTCGTGATTTGATTATGAATAAATAATTGTGGGATATGAAACAATGATCTAAATTATATGCCACGATTTTTATGTTCAGGTCATGTTTTATATACATATGTGGTTTGAATAAGCCATGTTTTATATATATCCATGGTTTGAATAGGCCATGTGTGATACGGTGGCAGAACCGGACTGTTTTAGGAAAATGATGATTTGCGTTTTGCATTTATGTTTGCAAAATGTCGCAGTAAGCAAGAGTCGCCACCGACTTTTATTTTATCCAACTGGAAAGGACAAAAGCACAGAAAAATTCCTTTTTTGAGATTTTGAGTACGGGGGGTAGATTATAGAAAGGGAAGGTATTAGCACCTTTTTTATCTGTGGTTTTCCACGGGCTCTTAGGTACTTGCTCATCATTTTAAAAATTGCTTCTGCGTTTGTATGTTTTGAAAAGTTTTTTGTTTTACTTCGTTTTAACCCTTGTATCAGTCCTCAAGGGTGTTACGAAGTGTTTTGGAAAACTTTGTTTGAAAAGAGTGTAAGTGTGGAAAAGTTTATTTTGAGCAAGTACCTACTAGCATCTACCTACTCGAAAAAGGAATGTTTCTGTTATTGTTTCCTTTAGACAACGATATCCCACTATTAGTGAGTAGGTAGCACCGTCGTTGGAGTTGTAAGGGTCAATTCGAAAGGGACGTACGATCACTAAAGCAATGTTAGGACGTCTTAGTAATAACCCTAATGTCTTAAGATCATATTCGAGGCAACATTTCCGAGGCAACCTTTCCGAGGCAACATTTCCGAACGGGACGTTTGATCTTTGTTTAGACAAGAGAGCGACCACTAAAATACCCTATACTTAATGATCGTTTACCGAAGGCAACCTAAGTGAGAGTATACCCTAGGGGTGCACATGTGCGAGTGATTTGATTTCAAGTTATTATCTTTGCACATTTAGGGTTTGCTAACCATTTTAAAATTAACACACAGTCTTGTCATGCAATCCTATTATCATCAATCTAACAGTTAATATTTGCGAAAATTAAAATGCGAGAAATAAAACTACGCTATTACAAGGCTTCGGGGAGGGGGATTAATTACATATCCAAAAACCCATAAAACGATAAATAAAAGAAAAATCCTAATTAAGCTATTACATACCATGAGCAGTTACATTAATATTTGCGAAAATAATAAACGCGCGCGATTAATTAAGAACGAGAAAAATTAGGGTTTTGACCCCTTCTAAACCTAATTAAAAGAAAAATCATTTTTGTTGATTTTGATTATTTTGAGAAAATAAAGTTTTAATTAAATAAGTGCAAACCTAATTACTAATTAATTTAAATTAAGAAAAGTAATTAATTTGACCTATTTTTGCATTTTGGTTATTTAAAAAAAAGAAAGTAAAAATTAAATCAAACAAACCCTAATTTCTAATTTGTTTTAAATTATTTACAAAAGGTTAAAATTACTCTAAAATTAAATTAAACTAATTATTAAATTAACTTTGATAAAAATAAAACCTAAATCTAATTTGATGAAAATTGATTTTATGAGTTTTTGTAAAAAAAATAATTAATTTTGTGTTAGATAATAAATTTGAACAAAATAAATTAAAGAATAAAAAAGAAAAGAAATTGGAATGGGTCTGGTTATGCTAGCAATAGAGGGGGTGTCCATAGCATTTTCTGAACCCAAAATCCCTTGGCCCACGTTGACTCTTCAGATTCCATGTTGCAAGTTTGACTAGGCCTATGGTAGACCTTCATGTGCCAGGCGTTGGATTTGGTTTGCTATAGATCCAATGGTTGAAAGCTGATGACTCATGGTGGATTTATGAGAAGCATGCGCATGGAAATACACATAGCAAAATAATATTGAAGAAACAAGAGGACCTGGGGATCGAACCCATGCCCTTTGGAAATTTCCAACGCCTCCTGACCAATTGAGCTAGCGTGCTTTGTTATATATGAAATAACAAATAAAGATTATATTGATAAAATAAATTAACATATGCCAAACGCGCGAATTTTTAAATGGGCCAGTCAGGGGGTGCCACGCCACCCTTCTTCTTCCTCCCTCCATTGGCAAAAGTCCAGGACTTTTACCTACAGTTTTCTGGGTGTAGGTATAAGCCTGTGATCTTTCAAAATACTTTGCAAGCATGGTAAATCAATTATAGTGGTACCAATCAACTCGTTGCAACCTCACGAGCATCATGGTACCACTCTCCATGGCCAATTGTTCCTGCAATCAAAACCACTAAAAACGAATCCTAAACCCTAATCATGGCAAATCTCTGTATGGTTAACAAAAATGAAATTAATTATTATCATTAGCTTGCAAATGTCTCAAAGATTCAGAATATACCCATAACATATGCTAACAATCCCAGAATTATGAATTGCGATTTCAAAAAAGTAGGGATGTCGTGAGGTGCTTACAGTGCGTATCTAGGCACGGAAATGCTTGTTGATGGTTGGGATAGGATCCTTGGATGCCCATCAAGCGAATGAGATAGCTGGGAAGGCTTGAGATAGCCTGAAACTATGAAATCAGATTGCCACTTTTTTTGAGTTTTTGCAAGTTTTATTTCAGCTTCTCACGCCTCCAATCCTTGTTCTTTTGCTTTGGATTTATTCAATATATATATCATAGAGTGCATTAGGGTTACAAGTTTGCACCAAATCCTTGCAATTATAAAGATTTGATCATTGTGTCACCCTTGCATCAAATCTTTCCAAAACAAGAAAAATTCAATCTTTTTCTGTCCAAACAAGCCTTGCACGATTTGATTTCATTGCCAACTGCATAAGAGACCTAAACATGCATAAAATCTCAAGCTTTGATTAGTTTTGATATTTTCATGATTTTATTTTGATTTAATTTGATTTAATTAAAATAAAAATCAAAATAAATGAAAAAAATAAAATAAAGGCAAGTGGGAAAGATCATGGGTCGTGGACCATGTTACAACCTCAATACAAGCACAAAAAGTTGGGCCCATTTGTCAAAAATTGCAATTTGAGACATATTTGACTTTTGGCAATTTTGCAAGAAAGGTCAACTTCACCAATGCATAACTCCTTCAATTTTGACCCCATAGATGTGTTCTTGGACTTTTTAGAAAGCTTGAGATGTCCTATAAGCAACCCTTTTGGTCTCATCTCAATTTGGTATTCCATGTTCATGTATGAAGTTTTGACAAAAAATGTGTTTTTATTGATTTTTCAAAATGACCTATAATGTCCAAATTCATAACTTCTTGTGAGTACATATTTTGAACTTGGGAGATTAATATGAATTGTAGGTAATTGCATCCTCTTCAAAATGAGCTTTGGATGGGTCATTCTTGATATAGTGTGAGAAAGTTATGCTTGGTCAAAGTTGAGTTGACTTTTCCTACAAAACCCTAATTTAGCAACTTTTGGGTTTTGATGAATTGTGAGCAATACTTGAAGAATCATGATCAACCTTTGATCAAATGATGAATAATAATTCAAAATGAGGATGTTGACCAAAAATCTTGAAGTTTGACTGTATGTGGGCCACAGTTGACTTTTGCCCTAGCATAGTCGATTTTCAGGCCTTTAAGCAATTGACTGAGCAAACTTCCTCTGCAAGGCTTGAAACTTGACATGGATGATCTTGAGGACATTTTAGGATAATGGTAAGCATTTGAGACCCCTTTGGACTCAAGTATCTTGATGCAACATGAAACCCTAATTTGAGGTAGACTGCCTTAGGAGAGAATTTGTCTGGTCAACTCTTTGACTTCCTTGAGCAATTTGAGGATCTCACTTGAAATGTATTGAGAAATATGGGAGGGAAAATTTTTGGGTACAACAGCTTCCCCTGTTCAATTTTCTTAAACATGAGGATGTAGATTGGCTTGTCTGCCTTTCGTGATCCGAAGGTTGAAGATGATTGAACACTAGAGTGCTCATAAATTTGCACTCGCATGAAGTGGTACTGGCCTTACGATATCAGAAATAGGCTTATAGACGCCATTTGGAGGTTGATGTAGGAAGATGGGCTTAAAGATGCCATCCGAAGAAGTGTCGATCGCATAAGAGATTCCTTTACGAGAGCCCGTATACCTGTTGTTGAGGAGGACTTCGCTGGGGATGCTGGTCTCTGTCTTGAGAA